CCCCCCCCCAAAAAAAAGCTGAAAATAAGTCCAAATCATGAGAAAAGGCCACGCGACTGTGGCAATGCCTTGAGACTTTGCGATCGTCCTTGCAAAACTCAGTTTTTAGATCATCCCTGAAGGACTATCACAGTAAAATACAGAAATACAGTGAGAGTTAAGCAGCGCAAGAAGCTGCAGCGCTGAGCACCGCGGAATCCGTGGTTTTAGTTTCTGCCTGCTATTTTCGCGCGTGTGAGCCTGTTTACCCGTTTTACAATTGCCTCCCCCGCACACACACACCTTTGGCACCTGGTAGGTTTTGTTGTAGCTGTTCCTCCTCCCTCATGCGGTTCCAAACTATCCCGCACTCATTCTACCCTCAGCGATAAACTTAAGCTTGAGTCTGGGAGCAAGGAAAACCCCGCCGCCACACCGCAACTACCATGGTGCAACTCAACTACTGGCGATGTCCTCGCTAGTCAATGGCGCCGCGGAACCCACTAAGTCCCAGACCAGACAAGAGGTGGCTGCAGTGGAGGTTTAGCTAAGAGCAGCCAGGACAACAACCTCTCCCTCTGAGTCCTCAAGCAAAGGCGCTAAGTAGTTGCTATGTAGTGTCTTACACCCAGCACTCCACCTGCCCCTGTGGCCCCTTCTGGTCATCTTCTGGTGCCCAGATATGTGGCTGCTGCAGGCCAGCGATCCCCATGGTCCTTCCCATTAAAATCCATCAAAGTTTACGTCCCGCTCGGTCAAAGTTTTGTCTAACCCGGGAAAGGGGAAAAGACAGAAGCCGAGTTTATTTTTAGCATCCAGGCGCTATTGTAAAAGGGATTTCTCTCTGGTTATTTATTTATTTACATGTTTTTTGTTTGTTTGTTTGTTTGTTTGTTTTTGAGGCAGTCTCTCACATCGCTCAGACTGTCCTCGAACTTGTCATATAGTCAAGGATGCCCCTAAACTTCTGTTTCTCCTGCTCCACCTCCCAAGTGCTGGCATCTTAGGCATGAACCCCACCATGCCTGATTTCTCCAGATTTGTGTATTAATGATAGTTTGGAAATATAGAAGAAATCTGTGAACAGAGTACAATGAAAGGCTGTTTGCTCCCCCATCAGATGCAACATCATCTG